GCTAATTGGCATTGACTCAAGTTGTGATACTGATTATCGTGTAGTCTATTCTAAAGTCGTTTCAGTCATGATAGGAGGGGTGCATTTTAACGAGCTTTGTTCTGACCACTAGCAAAACATATCTATTGTAAAAACTGACTACTTAAGTAGTATGCCTTTTTATCACTGATTTTGACTGCCTTTATAAATTCAGATAGATTTTATGGAAAACGTGCATGAAGAAAATATTTATTGTACTTGTTTGATTGCAAATAACGCCTTCTTTAAATTTTATATTCAAATAAAGGGTAGCTTTCGGTTTTAAAAAAAGTCACTTAATTGCTGAATAATTTTCTGATCTAGTGACTTGCTACACTCGAATTCAAGGTTTAAAAACTGCGCACTGTGTACATCCTGTTTAAGGAAAAGTACGTTTTCGTCTACAGTTTGAGGAAGAAGTCACACAATTGTCATAAAATATTGAAATCGATGTGGAATATATTTTATACAGTATGGGCGGCATTACCAAATTGACGGATACGCTGTATTATGTATAAACACCTCGCAACTCTAAAAAGCTCATAATTAGCAACTTTTTTAAAACCGAAAGCTACCCTTTCTTTAAGTCTAAAATTTAAAGGCGTAATTTGCTATCAAACAAGTATAAGAAATAATGCTTTCGTGTATGTTTTCCATAAAATATATTTGAATTTATAAAGGCGGTCAACATAAATGATAAAAAGGCATACCACTCAAGCGGACAGTTTTACAATAGATACGTTTTGCTAGTGGTCAGAACAGAGCTCGTTAAAAAGCACCCATCCTATCATGACTGAAACGACTTCAGAATAGGCTGCGCGATAATCAGTATCACAACTTGAGTCAATGCCAATTAGCGAAAGAGTATCAATCTTTCGCATTTGTCAACATGGTGCGTGATCTTCGGCGACTACTGTACTTGTCACAGAAGTGCCTTGAGGCTCGTAATTGAGTGATATCAGACTGTAATATCTAGTTTATGTCAGAAATGACCACGCTAGTCTCCCTTGTCTTTGTCAGTAAGGTCCTTTTGCCTATATCCTTAGCCGCCTCGCGGTGGAGGCTCCAGTAAGAGCTCTAATAGCAACAAGGACAGACGAGTACGTCCTCTAACAGATCGGTGTACGCGTATCTGCTACTATATACAAAAATACAAGAAGAAGTTCTCTGGAAAACGGTACCCCAGCATCCATTGGCCTCATTGCTACTTATCAGGCCTTATTTTTTTCATTATTCCGAAGCGTGTGAGGGTAACAGGGCAAGCAACTTCCCTTCCGTGTGTCGGACGAATTTTCTACGCCAGTATTTCTATATAAAACACGTAAAATTGCATAGGATTCAACCCAACCCCTGTTTTAATTCCGCTAACCTGCATTCCCTGCAAACCAACATTAAAGAAGCTCCTCTGACGGCAGCGAAAGCAGCAACTGAATCTCGACTATCGTGGTTTCATAGAGGGAACCGTCGATTGCGACACACAAGGCGGTGAATTCGATTTTTTAGTGATGGTCGGCTTGCACTGCATTTGGTGCATTCTCTTTCTCTTTCCTCACCCACATAAGCCCGGTATCAAGGCACAGTTACGAAGACCGAAGGTGGGATCGGGCGCAGGTGGCTGACGTGACCAGAGCCGCCCCACGCGTGCCATCACGCCTCCCGCACTCTTATGTATGTTCGGTATTTGTTTCAACCTGCATAACGCTCCTATCGCGTAGTAGCAACGGCTAAAAATGTTAACCCCTACGACTGCGATCTTCCAGACCCGGAGAAGGGAGAAGTCTTAGGAATACCAGAGTGGAAGGAAGAGTGTATTCTCTAGAGAATGAATGGTTGTAGGAAATTGACTACCAGATGACTGCAAGCCAGCGGACGGCGTCTGATGTAAGGCCTGCTCGGCAGTCGTCATATGAAGTCCTGTGTGCGTCGGCCTGGCTGATTGACTGTTACAGAGGCCGGAAGCAGTGAGCGTTCCAAAAGTGCACTTGGACTTGTGCTAGTCACGACAGGCATTCAAAAAGTAC